TCATATCAATTATTTTACATAAAATCATATTTCAAACCATAAATAATGCTCGACAGCCAAATAAAAGAAACAATACCAATACGGGCTTACAGTTTAAGGCTCGACATTGTGTTGTCTACGATTAGACAGCTGATAACTCATTCCCGTACGTCGTATGGTCGTAACACTATAATGACCTTTGCTTATTGTCACAAGTGCGCCGCATTCGCGATTGTTGCCCGACGCCTGTTTGCAGGTGAGCCCACTACAGTTGTTATACATATCTAAAAACCGATAAACTTTTAGGCGAAAAAGGCACTATTCCAGGCCCATTTTTGATTTTTTTTGCGATATTAGGTAAAAACAGAAGCTTCTTATCCTAGGAAAAATAAAATGGGAAATCTTTCAAAGGTGGCACACTACCTTTAAAATGTTAATTGGTCGTTAACTCGTTAACGGTGCAAAATACCAACCCAAAGAGGTACATTTTCGGATTCAGCGCATCGAGAAGGCCCCGGACACCGATTTTCAGCCAAATCGAAAGACCCCGCTGTTTCCCGTTAAAATGTTAACTGGCCTTTAACTCGTTTAACGGTGCAAAATACCACCCCAAAGAGGTACCTTTTCGGAATCAGCGCATCGAGGAGACCCTGTACACCGATTTTAAGCCAAATCGAAAGACCCCGAAAATTTACTGCTGAAATCAATATATGCTGCTGAAATGTTAACGGATCGTTAACTCGTTAACGATGCAAAATACCACCCCAAAGAGGCACATTTTCGAAATTAACGCATCGAGAATGCCCTGTATACTGATTTTCAGCCGAATCGAAAGACCCCGCCGTTTCCCGTTAAAATGTTAATTGGTCGTTAACTCGTTAACGGTGCAAAATACCACCCCAAAGAGGTACATTTTCGGAATCAGCGCAACGAGAAGGCCCTGTTCACCGATTGTCAGCCAAATCGAAAGACCCCGCTGTTTCTCGTTAAAATGTTAACTAGCCGTTAACTCGTTAACGGTGCAAAATACCACCCCAAAGAGGCACATTTTCAGAATCAGCGCATCGAGGAGGCCCTGTACACCGATTTTTAGCCAAATCGAAAGACCCCGCCGTTTCCCCGTTAAGATGTTAATTGGTCGTTAACTCATTAACGGTGCAAAATACCACCCCAAAGAGGTACCTTTTCGGAATCAGCGCATCGAGGAGACCCTGTACACCGATTTTAAGCCAAATCGAAAGACCCCGAAAATTTGCTGCTGAAATCGATATATGCTGCTGAAATGTTAACGGATCGTTAACTCGTTAACGATGCAAAATACCACCCAAAAGAGACACATCTTCGAAATCAGCGCATCGAGATGGCCCTGTATACTAATTTTCAGCCAAATCGAAAGACCCCGCCGTTTCCCGTTAAAATGTTAATTGGTCGTTAACTCGTTAACGGTGCAAAATACCACCCCAAAAAGGTACATTTTCGGAATCAGCGCATCAAGGAGGCCCTGTATACCGATTTTTAGCCAAATCGAAAGATCCCGCCGTTTCCCGTTAAAAAGTTGATTGGTCGTTAACTCGTTAACGGTGCAGAATACCACCCCAAAGAGGTACATTTTCGGAATCAGCGCATCAAGGAGGCGCTGTATATCGGTTTTCAGGCAAATAGAAAGACCCCGCCGTTTCCCGTTAAAATGTTAATTGGTCGTTAACTCGTTAACGGTGCAAAATACCACCCCAAAGAGGTACATTTTCGGAATCAGCGCATCGAGGAGGCCCTGTATACTTATTTTCAGCCAAATCGTAAGACCCCCAAAATTTGCTGCTGAAATCGATATATGCTGCTGAAATTCTAACGGATCTTTAACTCGTTAACGGTGCAAAATACCACCCCAAGGAGGCACATTTTCGAAATCAGCGTATCGAGAAGGCCCTGTACACCGATTTTCAGCCAACTCGAAAGACCCCGCCGTTTCCCGTTAAAATGTTAATTGGCCTTTAACCCGTTAACGGTGCAAAATACCACCCCAAACAGGTACATTTTCGGAATCAGCGCATCGAGGAGGCCCTGTATACCGATTTTCAGGCAAATCGAAAGACCCCGCCGTTTCCCGTTAAAATGTTAATTGGTCGTTAACTCGTTAACGGTGCAAAATACCACCCCAAAGAGGTACATTTTCGGAATCAGCGCATCGAGGAGGCCCTGTATACCGATTTTCAGCCAAATCGAAAGACCCCGAAATATGCTGCTGTGAGGCTGATATTCGTTGCTGCTGAATTGATAGGCGTACTTTTCTGAGGTGGGGTCAACAAACCCGCTCTGGTTGCCTGACCTGACCTGACCCGGCATTTTTTTTTGCCGAGATGTGCGCAATGAGCATTTAGGAAAAGTCACCAAATATGAGCTGAATGTCTCGCGGCGTTTGACAATTGTACAAGAAAATTCTGAAAGGCCTCCCCCGTCCGAAACAGGGTTAATGTGTATATGAAGAGTTGCAGATGCCAAACATACCTAGATCTAAGACTGCAGTTCCCAGCGCCGCTGCAACGTTTTTAAAACAAACATACATATAACATACAAACATGTTTATTTGCATCTGTTTTGGATAATAGCAACTCATGGCGCCATCACCCGCGATAACTGTTAGGATTTGAGATATATTTTTATTTAGGCCATTAGTTTGGCTGTAATATTTATTAATATTAGTTGGGCGGGGTTTGGTAGTTTTTTATTTAACTTGTGGTATGTTGTGCTGATTGCGGGTTGTTCAAACCTTTCAAATGTAAGGACCTTATTGAACTCAACCCTACCCCTACACTACCCTACACACAGAAAAATATTAACACCGTTAGCGGTGTAATTGCACAGTACATATCTGAGCACTTGAGGAAAGTTAATTTAGTCCCTTCCCCGCTTAAATTACTCGCGCTTCCAAATGAACACCAGGAAGAAGGTAATAGAACACTGTTAGGAGGGTTGGGTGTTTTGCTACATGTAGTAAAACACCCAACCCTCCTATCAGTGTTCTATTACCTTCTTCCTGGTGTTCATTTGGAAGCGCGAGTAATTTAAGCGGGGAAGGGACTAAATTAACTTTCCTCAAGTGCTCAGATATGTACTGTGCAATTACACCGCTAACGGTGGCAATATTTTTCTGTGTGTTTGTTGAAAAGGTCTTCCAGGGTGTTTTTAACCGCGTAGGTAAATGGGGTAACTTAAGGATAATAGCATACTTTTAAAAAGAGCTTCAGGGTAATTTAACACCGTTTACGTTATATCATGGTGTAGTAAAACACCCAACCCTCCTAACAGTGTTCTATTACCTTCTTCTTGGTGTTCATTTAGAAGCTAATGCGTGTAATTTAAGCGGGAAAGGGACTAGATTAACCTTCCTCAAGTGCTCAGATATGTACTGTGCAATTACACCGCTAACGGTGTCAATATTTCTTTGTGTGTGGAGTGAGACGACTAGCCATCGTATCAGAGCTGCCTGGTACTCGTAGCATTTGCACCGATTCTTCTCGATCGGACTCTGAAATTCTGTCCCTCCTGCGTATTACTTTTAGGCACTGCTAGCTATGTAGCTAAGTCTTTGGCACAGTTTCATTATCCATGCTTTGCAAACAGTGCCACAACAACACAGTTAATTAATCACCAAGCTTCTTTGCAAGTTCCAATACAGTTGAGTCGCACGCGATTTGAGTGCAAAAATCAAGAGAAGTGCCAACTTGTTCCCGTACAATATTTTGAATATTGACCTAAAAAATGAGTAATTTCCAGATAAAATAACAGCGAAATCAGTTTTCGCTTGCCAATAAAACTCACAGATATTGAAGCTCCATTATTAAAGGAACATTTTAGTATATGCTATTCTTGATAAAATTGCTTAGCCACGCAATACCAGCGCAAAATAAGGAGACACTGAAAAAACGACCATTCACTCCGATTTACCATAGGTAAATACATAGAAAATATATGTCTCAACTGCGCCAAATATACAGACAGTTATATACCTACATGTGACGTCATGATTAGCCCGACCAATCAGAAGCAAGTTGTTTTCAGTCACAAATAATTAATTTCTGGGCTAACTAGGCATTTTTTTAACAAAGTGATTTTAAATTAAATCATGAAAAATTCTCAGCTTTCTTATTTTACCAAAACATACAGAGTGTGGAGACAGGTCCCAACCCTATTGTCATTTTCGAATAATATATGACGTAGTAAAACCCTGGGCATCTTTCCCCACTCTCCCCTACATATCACTTGGCAAAGCAGCTCCAAAACACGTAAATTTTGCAGCCCGTGTAACAATCCTTGATACCAGAACACCTAGGGCCAGGTCGACAAGTCAAGTAGAGTAGCTCTCCCCCTAAAAAAATGTGGTCCTTTCAACCGTATAGCTTATTTCCTAGAAGTTTGAAATTTTATGTAGTGTAACTGCAGGACTGTGTGTGGCCGCGGCCGGAGTCGGTCGGAGTTGACAGTTCTGGCCAGAGCCGCAATTGGAGTCGCCGAAATCGTTCGGACTTCGACTCCGAAGTCAAAATCGACATTCTCTGGCTTAAAGTCATGCTCTACTGGTTAGTCCAAATATATGAAGCTCGTTTCTGGCCAGTCGTTTAGATACGGCACACTTGGATGACGATTAAAAAAATAAACAGTTTCCTGACGACGGGTCGGATAAAAGCTGGAAGTTCTGTTGGCCGTGGTGACTGGTGATGGTGGTTGGGCTTTGCACTCACCGCTGACGTCACGGCAGCCGGCAGGTCCATTTCATACAACATTCATCCACCTCCTCGAGCCGCTGCCGGTGCCGTGTACGGCGTGGGTAGACTGCACCGCTTCACACTGAAGTCAGGCGGCACAGTCTGCCAGTACCGGCGGCAGCTGCCAGCGCTGAGCCGAAGCTAACCGGTGAATGAGTCCCGGCACTTCATTTGGCACCCGACTGTACCTACCCTTCCGCTCTTGATGTGTGCATTCCCACTTTACCCATTTGCTCTTCCCAAAACAAAGACGACCACGACTTTACCATACATTTATTCATTGTGACTTAACACATATTATGGAAATTATGAACGATATTATGACGTGAACCTGTCGGCGCTCAGGCCGGCTGGCAGCCTGTTGAGCCGACTCTGATCAACCTAGCTTATCAGTATCGGGACCGACGCGTCAGCCAGCACACAGGCATCACCGGAACATATGCACGGTCACACACTCGCCAAGTACATTGAGGAACGCTCTCCCGTCCTACACGCGCGCGCGCGGTCGGCGCCGGTGCGCCCTCTGCGACACCTGCGCCTGTTAAAGCTAGCTGGGCCGGTGGCCGTTGGGCAGGAGGGGCGCCACCGCAGTGGCCGCCGGCGCCGCCGTCAGGGGGAGACGACTGACGGCGGCGGTGGCGGCGCTCCGGACGGCCGCCGCGCCGCCTCCGGACCCGGGGAGGCGGCGCGCGGCCGCCGGGCGGGCGGTCCGGAACGCCGGCCGCTCGGCGCCCTCTGCCAAGTCCCCTGAGCGCATGTCAACACAAACAAAACTGCGCTAGCTGAAGTAGAGAGGCGCGCAGACGGCACGCCTTGTGGCTGACTTTATTGCTGAGCACCGGAGTCGGCGGCCGGGCCGGGCGGCGTGCTGGTAGGGCGGGGGCGGACCGTCTCCTGGGCGCTCCTCGGCGCCGATCGGCGGCACTGTGACCTAAATCGCGGCCGCCAGCCGACGACGGATCGATAGTGGGGCTCGGGCGGGCGGCGCGCCGGCGGCGGCGGCTGCGTGCGGCGGCCGACCCGACCCGACCCGGCCGCACCGAGCGAGCGCGCGCCCCGGCCGCGTGTCTGGGCGGTATCGAGCGGTGCCGGTCGGTGGCCGGCTACCGGTCCCCGGGGCCGGCCCGGCGGTCAGCGGCCAGCCCACGCACCCAGCGCGGCGGCCGGCGGCCAAACAATGGTCCCCACACTCAGGGCGCCCCGACAGCCTCTCTGCTCCGTCTGCTCTCTCTCTTTCTCTCCCTGACTCTTTTCCACTCACTCACTCTCCCACATCCTGACGATCCGGCGACCAGCTGACACACCACAATGGTCAAAACAGAAGTGATCATGGCACACAACTAACGCCCCCACCCCCTCCGTCCGTCCGCCGGCGGCCGCAGCTACCAGAGATTTGTCCGGCAAGCGTATTTAGTCGTCAAGCAGCTTGCAAAATACCTGTTGCCCTAAGATCGCTTCTTCTTTTGAAGCGACGCACAAGAAATCGTCTCGTTCAACTTTGTACCAACGCGATGATGCATCTTAAAGCGTGAAGCAGCAAAAAGAGCCTAGTAAGCAGAACTTTGATGTTCGGCGATGTATAAGCGTTATGTATGAGCTCTGCGGTGATTTGTCAGCGCTTTTGTGCGTTTAGTGGTAGTTTTCTGCGGTGAGATTGGCGGTAGCATTAAGAGCAAACATGACTAGAATGCTTCCAAAAGTCACCATGAAAATATCAACGCGAAATGTTTGATGAAAAGGTATCTAAAAGCAGCCTCACTAACAAAAAGTACTTGAGAGAGGGACAGCTTGGTGAGCTAATATGCCGTAAGTACAAGGGTGATCGCATTTAAAATTCCCACCAACAGACGGCACGAGCAACGCTACCAAAACAGAGGTGACACTACCCACTGACTGGTGTCGCGCGCGGTCGGCGGTGACCTGACCTGACCTCGAGAGACCTGGCCTGGCGACTGGTCACCGGGTGCGCGGGTGGCGAGCAGGCCGGCCGCCCTGCCGGCTGAGATCGAGCCTCTGACGCTCCGTGCTCGAGTGCACCACGTCCTCCTGGCCGGCTCAGGCTCCACAACGGCAGCCGAAGATCATCGCTCTCTCAAAGTCCCGCGTCCCGCGTGAAAGGCAAACGGCGGCCCGGCCGGCAGCCGTGGGCGTCTTCGGCGGGGGCCGACCTCACCGGCTGCACGTGGCCGGCGCGGCGGCGGCGGCGGCCTGGCGCACACCGCACCACTAAATAATATCTTTGAGCGTACGCAGTGGCCGGGCGGCGGCGGCGGGCGGACAGCGCACTGGTCAACGCGTCACGCTACGCTGTCCTTCCGACTGTTATTGTTCAATTGCGCCAGCTTCTTGTACACAGACGAGTTGACGAAGCGGGGGTACGAGTCTCTGTGCATTAGCGTGTAAATCTGCATCTGGGCCTCGTCGAAGGTGCGTGAGTTGGGCGAACGCATCTTCACGTTGATCACCTCCCGCACCCGCGAGTCGAGACTCACCTGGCGAGACACGGGCGAGTCACACTCTCAGAGCGAAACAGACGGATCACAATCATAGTGGGAAAAGCGAGTCAAACACTCAGAGCGAGATATGGGTGAGTCATGCTCTCATAGTGAGACACAATCCAGTCACACTCACAGTGAGACAGGAGAGTCCCACATCACTGTGTGACGCATGCGAGTCCACTCACAGATCACAGTAAAATGGGCGAGTCACACGCACAGTTAGACAGGTATAACACACCTCACAATAAGACGGGCGAGTCTTATCGCCTGTCTTAACTCTATCGCGTTAAGACAGGCGAGAATACTTGGAGTGAGAAAAGCGAGTCACGCGTCACAGTGAGACACAGGTGCGTCATATACCCTCAGTGGAATAGGCGAGTTACACGCGAGTCACATCTCACAGTGAGACAGGCTAGTCACATCTCACAGTGAGTCAAGTGAGACACATTCTCACAGTGAGACAGGTGTGGTGAGATACACCTCACAGTGAGACAGTTGAGACAAGAGATGTCATGCACACAAACCCGACTTTTCACAGTTGGCCACGTGACACGTTATGAGTCACGAGTCTTACAAGTGAACCATTATGAGTCACAACTCATACATATCACATTACGATCACAACGATTGCATATTTGAATTTTTGGCAAGCGACTTGCAGTAAGCATTCATTGTCAAGAATGGCAGTTATTTACCTTCTCTGTTTGGAGAGGATGAATTTGATTGCAATTCTAAGCTCGAAACTGCAGGTAAGGTTTGGGTCAGGTTGGTGAACTTAGGTCCAGCCACATGCATACTATTTTACTGGGCGGCTAACCATGAGTGCAGACTGCAGTGTAAGCGGACACGTCATATAAAACTAAAGGGCAAGGATTAACGCTGGCTGAGAAAAAATGACCGGCCATTATTTTAGAGATATGCGTTTCAGTGACACGGCGCTGCAACCACGCGTGAGCTGCTAGTGATGGGATACTCGGGACTTTTAGACAAGACTTTGTTACTTCGAGATTCGCTTATAGCACAGCATAGCAACCAATGTGTGACCATTCAGACTGGTCGGAACCAGTAATAAGTAGGTTCGCCATTGTCCGATTGGGAGCTAAACTCTCTTCTGATGGTAACGTTACTGCGATCGAAAAGTCGGCACGCTATATGACGGTCCATCGGTGTGGGAAAGGCTATAGAAGATGCTTTAAGGGTAGGGAAAAAGATAAAATAAACTTTGCTAATTAAATACGTAAATTCTGGTCAGTGCACAATGTCGCTCATATATAAGAGCCACGCTGTCACTAAAATTAATGTTGTAGTGTCTGATTGTCAGTTTTTTTAACCCGCGCGGGGCTGGGGGGGGGGGTAAATTTTACCCCCCCTCGCGAATTTTTGCGATATCTCAAAAACGGCGGCGCGCAGCGCCGCCAAACTTTCAGTACCTTTTCTTACATCAATTTGACACGTTCCCTGAAAATTTGAGCGAAATCCGTCGGAAAATTTTTGAGAAATTGACGTTTTAGTGACGTCATGTTCGCCATTTTCGCCTCAAAAACGGCAAAAGTTCAAACGCCGCTAACATCTTCATTTTTAAAGGAATCAAGACGTAACAAAAAAGGTTATACGTAATTTTACTTTGTCTATCAAATGGCTATCTCGGTTTTTTGAAAATTTTTGGATTTTGGCCTAAATTTTTTCAAAAAACTGACTTTTTTGGCAAAATCATTATAAAATCCAAAATTTTGAGTTTATCAAAAAAACCGGAATATATGTCAGAGAAGTGGTCTATGTGCACCTACATACCAAATTTTAGAAGAATCGGTTCAAAAATGTGGGAGTTATTCAAAATTTTATGACGTCACGACACACAAAATTTTTGAAAAATGACTTTTTTGGAAGTTCTAGACCTCGTACGGAAACAAAAATAGCACCATTCGATTCGTCGTGAAAAACTGCATCAGATAGACACCTTTTTAGGCCTTAACAACCAACTTCAAAATTTGACCTAACTTGACCTGACCTTGACCTGACCTCGACCTGAAATTCATCCAGAGGTGGTCCATATCACTTATTGAGTGTGCCTATTGAATTCTATGAGTAAAATGACCCATAAAACATGTGTCGCACATGCCCTTTTCTATATTTTGTTTTTTGGTGACCTGACCTGACCTGACCTGACCTTGACCTTGACCTCTGAATGATATTGTATGCAACGAATATTGTCTTGGTAGCCTAAGAACACGTTTTGGGCGATCAGTCTCAGTCCATGACTCCATTTTTCGGCAACTACGGTGCAAGGCCGATACTGTAGAAACTTGCAATTTGTACCCTTGACCTGACCTTGACCTTGACCTCAAACTTTAAATTAAGTTCATGTTTTTAGTAGTTCGTGATGAGAGCTTTCGATTGGCGTTTGAATTTTCCAAATCGGACCATTAGTTCGGGAGATAACAGGGGGGGTAATATTTACCCCCCCCCCAGCCCCGCGCGTTCGGCTGGAGACCCCAGCCCCGCGCGGGTTAAGAGTGCGGATGCAGTTAGCATGCAGCTGCACGAAGTCACCATGCCTTCCTGAGGCCGCTGACTCACCTCCTTTGGAGATAATATTGAGATGTAATCTTCATATATCAACCTCGCCTTTTCTTCTACTAGCGCTGCATCTTTTTCTTTTTTCAATTCTTCACAAGCTAAATAAAACAATATATTTTCTTCACTGTATTCACACCGCAGAAATTCTTTAAACACCTTCCTGCCGGCTGGAAAGAAAGAAAAAAGTTAACGGCGCCAGCAACAAACGCACAATTTCATAGCAAATCTACAGTCGGGTACATGATACACAATTTATTATGTTTTAGTGCTATTTTTTATTCGGCTATAGATTATTCTAACGGATATCTATATAGGTAACACTTATAGGAACCACCTCTGTACCTATATTCTAAGTGCTTTTTTCGTGTCACTAACAAACGCATATAATTGATGAGAACTTGAAACTAAGCTAACGCACGCATAAAAGATGACGTTGTGTTCAAATTGGCAACTATACCACACTACACATGGGCCTTCAAGATCCTATTCTTAAGACAGCACATCTACGGCAGTAGCAAAGAAAGATCTAGTAGATGACTGACCATCGGTTGTTCCCTCTGGTGGTTTACCCCCCCCCCCCCCCCTAAGGACCACCGGTCTTTACCAAAACTTCTTATAATTTCTGTCCCTAAAAAAAAAACATTTCACGGAATTACATTGAGGAGTAGGTACACTTGTTACTCACCTGAACAACCCATCAGTTTCTCAAAAGATTCGCCCCACATTCGTATGTCTTCTAATGTTGGACTGAAAGAAGAGAGAAGCAGTGTGTCAGTGACATTCCAGTATAGAAATAGCTTGGATACTGGGAGTGGACAGTGGAGGCGTGGACACCCGATATCGTCACTCAGATCAGTAACTAGGAAAGTCGTACATTTATTACATATAAAGTTTTAAATATTCGACAACATTGCCGTTAGCTCATTCTTCGATAATGGAAACGGTTGCGAGACATTGATGTGTTCTTATTAACAAAGTAAATATCAATGTGAGTTTGAAAATATACAAATGCGCATGGCAAAGCAACAGCATCTTTTGCATCTTTCCGAACGCTTGGGGAGTGCAAAATCATGTGTGCACTCGTTTTTCACATTTCATGTAAGATATATTGCATTTCAAACTCAGACGCAATCTGTGCAAGGTAATCCAATTATTGGTTTTGCAGTTCACGCATTAATTTTGCAGCGACTTGTTGACTAAAATAAAAAAGTAAAATGCTAGTCAATACTCGAGAGGTGTGCCCTCGAGCCGCGGCGGTCTTCACTAACCGGCGCCACCCATGTAACGGGCGGCCCGCCCGCACGGAACCCGAGCGGGGCTCTGCTGGAGGGTAGGCTGTGCCGCAGTACACGCGTGTAATGCGGCGCAGTATGTATACTGTGTATAGCTGCCATGGCTCTGTAATCTGTATGTCTCATGACGCACGAACATTGAGACGCACATCGGCCATCGCATGACAAAAAAAGCTTACATCATGCTGCATACTTCGGAGATTATAGCGCTACGGGATATTTCATGTTTGTTTCTTGCATGACAGAAGTCCGCCGTCCACAAAATCCATGGACATTGGAAGCCTTAGGTGTTCAAAATAGTTAGGCGTCTGTACGCCCAATAGCAGCATCAAAGCATATGCGGCGAAACGGGGGGGGGGCACCGGGGCACGGTGCCCCCCTTGATTTTGGCATTTTACATTAGCCCTATGGGCGTTGCATGGAAAGAATGGGACCAAAAGTTGGCACTGGCAGTGCCCCCCCCCCCCTAATTGAAGGTGTTCCGCCGCTACTGCATCAAAGAACGCCTTTATATGTAATGTATACCTTAACGCCTTGAGACAGCAAAAAAGAAAGAAAAAACACTCCAAAACGTATTTTGTCATATCTCTGTGCGATGCTACTTTTCCTTTTCCCGGTTAACACATACGTATAAGGATTATGCTGTGTACGTTTTATAGTAATAAAGCAGTACGTAGATGTTTCCTCAGAACTTTGACAAGTTCGAGACATATCGATGAGACGCTTTACCTCGGACCATCATCATTCGAGGCTCGAGCCATTTTGAAATCACAGCACTTTATGATAGGGCTGTGATAGCCACATGTGGTGCTGATCTGTCAAAATGACAGAACGATTGTCAATCACCACTTCTAGATTTAGGACAAATAAATTTCCTGACAGATGAGACGGGCTGAGGGCAACCACTGACCAGCGTCAGTCATGTAACAGACGGCTCGACCGCACGCCATTCACGCGCCGCGGAGCTCTGCTGGAGGGTAGGCTGTGCCGCAGTACACACGTGTAATGCGGCGCAGTATGACTGCCTTGGCTCCGTAATTGTGTGCCTATGATGCACGAACGGCCGGACAAAGGAGGTGTAAATGATATTACACTGCTGCATGCAGATGTGCTTTGTAAAAAGGTAGCGGTAAGAGTTACACTTTGGAGTTACACACTGGAGAGCCGGAGGGCGGAGACTATATCCGCTCAAATCCTAGCCAACTCTTCCCTGCGCTCACGTTGAACACGGCGTGTACTGATCTGGCTCTCCCACACGTAAGAACCGAAGCAGGGACTAGGGAGGCGGCGTCTGCTCTACAGCATCGCCAAATTATATAATCGCCTGCCCCATGATTTTAGGAGCCTATCCATGGGAAGTTTTAAGCGCTCTGTTTCCGAGTGGTATTTACGTATTTAGGGATGAGTGAATGGTTCGATGTTTACTGAGTGCTGTGATTTGTGTGCATTTTAACTAGTTTTTTTTTCTTTCAACTCAGACCCGACACTCAGAAAAGCCATTTTAATATGGAGAGTGTTTTAATTGTCAATGCATACAATACATACATACTTAAGCATTTCATATCTAATAAAGAAATGGTTGAGCTTTTATTTTCTTGAATTCCTCGCGCCGGCAGGTATATTAGTTAAGACCTGATGTCTTCATACGAAAGGGAGAGTAGCCAGAGCGGGCAGGTGGACAGCTTATCCCGCCAGATTCCGAGTGACCGCCAGCGAAATATGTTCAAACCTCATAATTTGATACGCGAAAATCGGGGTTACAGGTTAGCTCAAGACGAATCTTGGGAAATTGTTTGAATGTTGGGAAAACACTTGACTAGGTCTGAGAATGAATGCTGAATGAAATCAAGAATGTTTGAATAAATTCGTAATAACAGATAACGTAGAGAGCATTGTCTTTTACTTCTAAAATCCTTCAGCATTTTTCACAATGTTAGGAGTTAGGACTGCAGTGGAATGAACAAGATGGTAGAAAACGTTTTGACTGAGGACGGGTCTGTAATGGAGAAGAACACCGAGTTCACCCAAATATATGTATGGATTGGCACTGGCGGATCCAGGCTTGCGTTTTGGGGGGGGGCCAACTCATGCAGGAGCCAAACCTAGGGTACCCCCAAATCCTGTTTTCTCATCGGATTTAGGCCACTTATTTTTCGTCACAGCCCTGACACTATGAATATTTTTTTTAAAATAAAAGTAAAAATATATAAATGGTAGCCCATCCGACCCATGCCTTTATATTACTTTGTAAACACTTACCATTGCTTTTGTCGACCAGTTAACCCGCTTCGAGTCAGTGCTTGGGTCCCTTTGCGGGCCGGGAGGTGGTAAAACACCCCCTGTCTAACTCGGCTCCTGGGCCAGGCACTGATTGAACTATGTTTCATTATCGCTTGGGGGAGGGGGCAAACGGGCCACTTTAGGCCTCTGGGAAGGGGGCATGGCCGTAAATGCCCCCTCCCTGGATCCGCCAGTATAAGAGACCATTGGAGCTGCAGTTGGGTACCTCAGACGTCAGGGTACGCCCTCAGATGTATAGGACTCGCATGGAGACCTCTTATGCTATAGTGGACTGAAAGGACCCAAAGGAGCCTGTCTAGGGCTCCCGGAGATAGACGTGGGCCCTCAGGAGCCCGCCAGAGCCCCCAATGAGGGATAAGTGAGGGATACCAAGTGCCTGCCATTGCATATTGCATAAGCCATAACGCCATTATTAATCAATATGATATGTATCAGTGGCAGATCCAAGGGGGGCCACATGGGTCATGACCCCCCCCCCTTGGTGCCCGGGGGCACCACAGGCCTGTCAGGGGCACCACCGGTCTAGCAGGGGCACCACCAGCCCGCCAGGGGCACCACAGGCCTAGCAAGGGCACCACGGGCCTGTGAGGGGCACCCCAGGTCTGTCAGGGACACCAGAGACCTGCCAGGGGCGCCGCCAGCCTCGCAGGGGCACCATGGGCCTGTCAGGGGCACCAGAGGCCTAGCAGGGGTACCAGTACCACAGGCCTTACAGGGGCACCACCGGCCTTGCAGGGGCACCTTGGGCCTGTCAGGGGCACCACAGTCCTGTCAGGGCCCAGGGGCACCAGCGGCCTAGCAGGGGCACCACAGGCCTGCCAGGGGCACCACCGGTCTAGCAGGGGCACCACCGGCCTCGCAGGGGCACCACCGGCCTCGCAGACAACACGGCATCACGCAGGGGCACATTGGGCCTGTCGGAGGCATCACGGGTCTGTTAGGGGCACTTTAGGCTTGTTAGGGGCACCACAGTCCTGTCAGGGCCCAGGGGCATCAGCAGCCTAGCAGGGGCACCCTAGGCCCGCCAGAGGCACCACAGGCCTGCCAGGGTCCAGGGGCACCACAGACCTAGCAAGGGCACCACGGGCCTGTCAGGGGCACCTCAGGCTCCCGTGCCCCCCCCCCCCGGATCCGCCAGTGATGCCTCACCACGCGAAACACCGCCAACTCCCAGCTACCGCGCCATAAACACGTGCCAACAACAGTCTTTTTTTGAAGGTCGACTCCACTCGCGCAACTTTTGACTGACCCTCACTGCTACCATATTGCTTCCATATTATGCTGTGGAAAGCTTTACTTCACCAAGTGTGCTAAAAACCTCCATCAAGATATATTTTCTTAGCAATTTTTCTGACGTTTTGGGGGGGCCAAACAGGCCACTTTAGGCCTTTGGGGGGGCCATGGCCCCCGTGGCCCCCCCCCCTGGATCCGCCAGTGTGGATTGGCAAGACTAGAACCAGTATAGCGCCTTTTGGGGGGCGACTAACGGAGCGAGCGAGATGGTGACTCTTGCACGTGCGAAATTTCGAGGGGGTACCTCCAACTGACTTGTGCACAGCACCCTACTAACCGGTCTCTAGCGATGTGCCAAATTTGAGCACAATCGGCCCAGCCGTTCTCGAGATCTGGAAGCGGCACCCTGCACGTGCGCACGTGCAGAATGGGTCCCAACTGACTTGTGCACGGCACCCTACTAACTGGTCCCTAACCGTGTACCAAATTTGAGCGCCATCGGTCCAGCCGTTCTCGAGATCTGGAATCGACCCCTGCACGTGCGCACGTGCAGCAGCACCCCAACTCTGGCACATGGATATGCAGTGCCTAGTGGGTGCCTACCTACATGCCAACTTTCAGCGCAATCGGCCAAGTAGTTACCGAGATATTGCAACAATTACAAAACTGACACCTCTTCGTTTTGCGCGTGGCACGTGCATAAGGGGTCACCCACATGCATCGGGAATAGTCCAATACTTGGTAGAAGGAATGAAGCTACCCTACAAAAATTACCGCGTGTAAATCGGTCAAGTGGTCGCTGAGATATAAGCCTCGCAAAAGCGTCCGCACGGCCGGCCGGCCGGCCGCTCATACTCAGAAATTTCCGTTATTCTACGTAAGACTCCGCTCGCTTCGCTCGCTCCGTAACCATACACCCGT